AAATATATTTTAATAGAGTCAAATCAATGAGAGAGATAGATTATATTTATGCATAGAGAAACCCAAAATCATGAAAATTTTTACTCTCTCCCAAGTAATCTAAAAATCCAGTGTAACTCCAAACAACATATGAGAAGATTATATGAAAATTGCAAGGCCAACAAATAATAGCTCTTTTTTGAAGACAATTTTGAAGAGAACTAGGACAGAGAGGTCATGTTTGACCAGAAAACAAGACTTATTTTGAAACTATGGTAATTTGACCAGTGTGCTATTAGCAAAAGATCAGATATATAGACCAATGGAAGAAATAAATGACCCCATAAACTATCTAATGCTTAAACAGAAACAATATATGAGAGGACTGTATTGTAGATCAGTATCAAAAGAACAGTCTACCTAACAAATGCTTTTGGAACAATTGGTTATCTATTAAGGAAAGAAATGAAATTTATCTTTATCTCACACCATATGTAAAAATCAACCCTAAGGAGGATAAAGACATAAAATATTAATTTTTATTTATTTATTTTTATTATTATTATTTTTTTGCAGTACGCGGGCCTCTCACTGTTGTGGCCTCTCCCGTTGCGGAGCACAGGCTCTGGACGCGCAGGCTCAGTGGCCATGGCTCACGGGCCCAGCCGCTCTGCGGCATGTGGGATCTTCCCAGACCGGGGCACGAACCCGTGTCCCCTGCATCGGCAGGCGGACTCTCAACCACTGCACCACCAGGGAAACCCATAATTTTTATTTTTTATGAAAACATTTAATAAAACATCTTTGTGATTTTTGTGGTAGGGCAGTACATACAAAGTACATACATACAAAGAGGACAAACATAAAGACAACTTGATTAAAATGATAGAAACTCTGTTTCAAATATGGAAAGGAAAAAAAGTGGGGGGAGAAAACCACTTTTAAAAACTTGATTAAAATTGAAACTTGACTAAATTAAAGCTTGACTAAAACTTGATTAACACTTGACTGAATTAAAAACTTGATTAAAATCAAGTTGATAAATTCAACTTGATTAAAATGATAGAAACTCTGTGTTTCAAATACTGAAAGGAAAAAAATTGGGGGGAGAAAACCATAGACAAGGATAAGATGTAAAGATGTTTGTGATATGTATACACAAAACATGTAAAGAACATTTGAAATTTGATGATAAGATAATCCTACTAGAGAAATAAGCAAATGATATAAACAGATAATTTGAGAAGAAAATACCCAAATGACCCATTAAGAAAAAATATTCAACCACATCATAATCAGGAAATGCAAAGCTAAAAGACAGTCAGATTGGCATCAGACTGGCAAAAATTGAAAACTGAAAATACTAAGTGTTGGTGAGAATATGGAGAAAGAGGAAGTCATACTTTGCAGGTACAGAGGAAAATGTGTACAACCAATTTGGACAGCAGTTTAGCCACATGCAATAAACATGAAAATGAGCATACCCTGTGACCCAGCATTTCTATTTCTAGGAAATGTGTCAAAGAAAATCTCACATATGTGCCCAAGGAGACACAGAGAATATAGAAAGTGTTAAGAATGCATGAAAGTATTCAATGATAGAATGATAGAATGGAATGCAAGAACATGCATATCAGCTTCATATATAATAGTAAAAAATTAGAAACATCTTAAGTATTAACAAGAGGATGGTGGATTACACTGAATTATATTTGTGTAGTGAAATACTATACAACAGTAACAATAAATGACCTGGAACTATATGCATCAACGTGGAAGATTCTTTTTTTTTTTTTTTTTTT